TTAGGGGAGCTCTCTGAGGAGGAGGACCCTTGCGGGAGGCACTGAGCCAGGGTTATCTCTCCACAGGGACCCTGAGTTTGTCTTTTATGACCAGCTAAAGCAGGTGATGAACGCCTACAGGTGAGTGGTGGGCCAGAGCCCAGGGCACCACGGTCTGTGAGGATGACCATTCTCCCGTCCTTGACCCCATGGGCTGTTCCTCAGGGTCAAGCCGGCCATCTTCGACCTGCTACTGGCCTTGTGCATTGGGGCGTACCTTGCCATGGCGTACACCGCTGTCCAGGTGAGCAGCTGGGCAGTTGTCTTGGGTGGGGCAGCTCTCCCACCCTCCCCCCCCCGCCCTCCTGCCCTCCCCGCCCCTCATACTCCATTGTCCCCACCAGCACTTCCACGTGCTATACAGGACGGTGCAGAGACTGCTGCTCAAGGCCAAGGCACAGTGACAGTGGCCATGCACAGGTGGCCCAGGAGGCACTGGCCCATGCACCCACCGTGGCCGGACCGAACCACAGAGGGTTTGGACAGGTCACTAGGACACAGGGACGCCTCTCCCTGTCCATTCCCTTGAATGTCCCTGGAGGGGCACCCAACCCACCTGCAGATGAGCCCACTGGGATGGAATGGTGACCCAGGCCCCGTGCACTGAAGGGCCACGTGCTGGTGTTGGCCTCCCCCCGTGGCTGGGTCCCAGAAGCTGGTCTCTGCGGTTGTTGAGACAGCCGCTGTCAGCCTGCCTCTCCCTACCGCTGGCCAGCACCCGACAATGTCTCCCTGCTCTTCCCCTCATACCCTGCCCTGCCTGCCTGCCTGTTGTCACCTCCGCCATCACTGGACCCACCTGATCCCCCAGCTGGATCTGAGCCAACTGAGGGTCTAGTCCCTCCTGCAAGTGTCCCTTCACTCAGTCCCAATGCTAGTGACTGGACAGGAGTTGGCCCTGGTCTGGAGTGTGCAGTCCTGAGGTCCCACCACCTTCCACCCTCCTCCACCAGCCTCAGTTTCCCTACCTGTGATACATTCTGGGAAGTCCACCCCTCTGTCATAGTGTCTGATGGAATAGCCAGGCCCAGCACAGCCCTGGATGTCCCCCAGCAGGATGGCCTTGGGAGGGGCACCAGTGCTGATGGTTGACCTCAGGGACCCCACAGTGAATCAATTCAATAGCAATATGACCCAGAAGGTGTCAGGCTGGGATGGGCAGCTGGGGACCAGCCGAAGACCAGCTTCTCACATCCCTCTAGCGCCTGCTGAGGCTGGCCCACCCTGCCCACTGTGGCTGCCTGCCTCCCTGGTGGCACTGTGTCATAGGGCGAGAGGGGTCAGCCTGCTGCCCTGGCCCTGGGCGCTCGCGTCCCCTCTCTTACGAAGCTGGTTACGGGTCTGAGGCCAGTGCCACCTGTCACTGGAAAAGTACACAGGGCACTTGCCGCCTTCCTCTGTCCTGACAGGTCATGGGGATGGATGGCCTCTTGGGGTGGCTGCGGGTCTGCAGTTGGTGGGTTACAAAATAAAAGCCATATTGAAGGACCGAGCCTCCAGGTGTCCTAAGGAACATCCACTGTGGTGCTGCTGTCCTGGGTCTGTGGGGGTGTCACCTCAGCTCTGCTGTTCACCCTGGGCTGTTCAGTGAACACTGCTTCCTGGCACTGGACGTGTTCTCAGTGGAAGAGAAGACAGGGGCATGCCACATGGGGCAGGAGTCATCACAGTGCTAAAGGCTGTCCCTGCTCCTCCTGGGATGGGGGGCGGGTATGGGTCTAGGCTCCTCACCATAGGCTCTGCCCATGGCTCACGTGCCCATCTTGTAGAAGTCAGTCAATAAGCCAAAGTTGAGTTGCTGCTGTGAGGCTGGGGGCTGTCCACTTGGCTCACAACAGCATTGCTAACCTCCCACTATTAAGAGGAAACAGACCCAGGTAGGTCACGGGCATTCAGAGCAGGGTCTCTTCTGTCTCCATGACCACAGAACCCGGCCAATTGGGGTCTGGGTTCAAGCAGAGGGTATGGCCTATTCCAAGGTCCTGGGGCAGGTACATCGAGGATGCTGTGCTCCTAAGCCCACCATGGGGGCTGTGGGGATCTGCACTGAGATCCAGCTTGCAAGTTCTCCTCGTCCCCTAGAGGTGCATGCGTGCTTGTGCTGGGGGCTTAAGACAATTAGCAAGAGGTCGCTCTCTCCTACAGAAGGCCTGGGACTCCGTCACCCACTAAGGCCTCTCAACATCCCTCTGCCTTATCATTTGAGTCAAGGCCTCTGTGTCCTAAGGCTCCTGCCTCAGCCTCCATAACTAGGTAATTAGTATGGCTGCCATGCCTAGCTGTTTCCGTCGGGGCTGGGGATCCCAACTCGGGTCCCTGGGCAAACGGTGGCCACCATCTCCTCCACTTCTGTTTCAGAGGGAGGATGTTACTGGAATCTTGGCTGGCATCATGGCAATCCTCCTGCCTCAGCTTTATAAGAGCAGAAGTGACAGGCCCACACAACTACTCTGACTACATAGATTGGGCATGGTGGTACGCCTGTCATCCTGCCACTTGAGGGTGAAGGCAGGTGATCAGTTCTAGGTAATCTCGGCCACAGTAAGTTTAGGACCAGCCTGGGCTACATAAAACCTTGCTTCAAAAACTAAGAGACTGTAAGTCGCTGCTCTCCCTAGCATCCAAAGGTGCTGAGCCCCAGGAGTGGGTGCTGGAGACACAGCTGGCCCTAGCCTATGACCTCCAGGGAAGGGTGGGCAGGGAAGGGTGGGCTGGCTCCGCTGACTCTTGGTAGGAAAGCAGCCCCTCCCATGCCGTCAGTACTCTTAAGTCAGGGTCTTTGTTTGGGGAGACTCCAGAGGGGAGTCTCCCCCAACAGGGTGGGGGCAGCCTCCCAGCATGGAGTGTGTGAAGAGCAGGGGCTCAGCTCGGCAGCCAGGAGCAGACCAGCCCTGAAAGTTGGCAGATGAGCCTGAGGTAAGTCCAAAAGCAGTCCACTCACCTGAGCATATGCAAAGGTATGCTCCAGGCAAGGTGGTTAAGATGCCCCGCCCACCCACCAGTTTCTGGTTTTCTCTCTTGTGGATGAGCAGCCACCAGGCTCTTGCAGCATAGCTATGGTGACATCAGTTCCTACGTGGGTGAGGGGGAGGGATTGGAGGTGTCAGGGAAGGAGTTCCCCAAACAGGTGCTACTTTAGGGCTATCATGGTGTTCACGGTTGAAGCAAGCAGCGCCAGCTCCACGGGCCTTCTCCCTGCTCCTGCCCACATTTTGAGGGCTGAGATGTCTTTAAAACTGGGCCTGGTGGCTCAAACCCGTGACTCCGATACTGAGACAGGTGGATGACAGCTGTGGGGCAGATGGAAGGGCTCCCTTCGACCAGCATCCCCAGCTCTCCGGAAGCCTGGGCCCCCTCTTGACACTTTTTAATGATTCTCACAGCTCAGAGGCCCATGGAGCTCCCAGCATCCTGCTCCGGTCTCCATGGAAACAGCTCATCTGAGGACCACCATCTCCCAGGGTACGGAGGATGGCATGCTTGTATGTGACTCCTGACCTGGGCCTCACCCCTCCCTGCTCCAGCCAGCCTGGACACGGTATCTCTGCAGTTAGCTCTGCCTGTGGATTACAATAGTGGCAGTTGCCATTGTGAAGCCAAGCCCACAGGGCATCAGTTCCTTCTCCCTCTAGTGTTGATAGCAAATGCAGAAATGGAGGCATACATGCCTGGATCGTGTGGAAGACAGAAGGAATCATGGGATACATTTGGGCTTCCAGAATTGGCACTGCACTCCTGCTTTGTGCCGTTGGCCAAAGGATCAACTGCTCTGGGCCTCAGTTCCTGTTTTTTTAAAACACGTAATAGAGGCTGGAGCGACTGCTCAGCAGTTACAGCATCGGCTGCTCCCGCAGGCGACTCAGTTCTGTTCCCAGCACCAGTATGATGGCTCACAACCGCCTGGAACTCCAGGTCTGGGGACCTGACGCCCCCTTCTGGCCGCTGTGAGTACTTCATGCACGTGCACAGACAGGCAACAACCCTGAACATAGGTAAATCTTTTTACAAAAACAAATTATGGGAACAGGACTCCTTAATTCCTCTATGTATTTGAGACACTGTCTTCTGTGCTCCAAGCTACCCTCCAACTCTCTGTAGCCAAGGATGATCTTGAACCCTGATCCTTTTGCCTCTTCCTCCTCTGGAAAAAAAGAAAGCACCAAATTCAGTCATCAACATACAGAATATTTTACTGCAATAATTAAAATGAACACACAAAAATGCTATGCATAAAATATTACCTATTTAGTTTTGAGACAAGGTATCTTGACATAGCTCTAGCTGCCCTAGAAGGCAATATGTAGCCCCTGCTGGCTTCAAACTCACAGCGAGAGTTGGTGTGCCACCTCACCCAGCACATTTTAACCACAAACAGCATAAGCATAGTCAGCGTCTTCGGAACAGGCATCCATGGCACTAGGAATTTCAATTTAAAATAAAAATATGAGCCGGGCATGGTAGTTCAGGCCTGTCATCCCAGTCTGAGGATGGAGGCAACTGAGGTAGGAGGATTGCTTGCAAGGGCCAGCCTGGGTGTCTGCTTCTGTCCTCAAGTGGTCTGTTGGTTTTTCTGCCCTCCTTAGCTGTCACCTCCCTGACCCTGTCCTGCCCTTTGTGTCCATTTCACAGGCTGGCTTTCATCATGCACCTCCCTGTTTTCAGAGCCACAATCTCCTTCCATGGCTATTCTACTTGCTGACTCGTTTTATCTTGACACAGGCTCTTACGTTGTAGCCCAGCCAGCTCCGGAACTCCCGATCCTCCTGCCTCAGTCTCTTCAGTGCGCCTGGCTGCGAGGCAGATCTCCTGATTGTTGGTGACAGACACACTAAGGATGCCAAGGCCGTGGGCATGTCCAGCCCGAAGCCTCCCACAGCTCCAGGACCTCTGGGCCTCAGTTTCTCCCGGGGGTCCCCATTTCTCCGCGAGCCTCGAGGCCTCAGTTTCCCGGCGCCAGTGCCGCCCGCCCCCTGCAGTGCCCACGGCGGCCGCCAGGAGCGCCGTGGCGCAGTCACGCGCGGGCGGGGCCGCTGGCGGAGCGAAGCGGAGGCACACAGCTCCTGCCCGGGCCTGGCCGGTGGGCGGCAGCGGGCCCGAGCGCCCCGGGGCGCGGCCCGACGGCATGAAGGACCTGGACGCCATCAAGCTCTTCGTGGGCCAGATCCCGCGCCACTTGCACGAACAGGACCTCAAGCCGCTATTTGAGCAGTTCGGCCGCATCTACGAGCTGACTGTGCTCAAAGACCCGCACACCGGCGTGCACAAAGGTGGGCGCCGCGCCCCCGCCTCTGCACCCCTGCACCCGCCCCTGCACCCCTGCACCCGCCCCTGCACCCCGGCACCCGCCCCTGCACCCCGGCACTCTCCTGCAGCCCCGAGCCCTTTCTGTACCCCTCTTTCTACACCTGCACCCCCCCAACCCTACACACCTTCCGTGCACCTGAGCCTTCGAGATCCCTCTCCCACACCCTTTCTCCTGCACCCCTGCATCCCAGCCCCCACTCACCTTCCCCTACACCCTCCTCCGCCGCCCCGGGGGTGCTGCTCGGGATCCAGCTGCCCCCTCCTGTCCTCCGCCCCCTCTTCCTCCCTCCTCCCTCCTCCCTCCTCCTCCATCGCTCTCCAGCCCTCCATCATCTCCCTCCACCTCCCTTCTCTCCCCAGGCATCTTTTTCTCTTTCCTCCTCTCCCTCCCATTCCCAGAACCCCCCCCCCCGTGCCTAGAGTGCCAGGGACCCCAACCTCCCAGTCCCTCACCACCCTCCTTGTTGCTTTTGGTCTTCCTGGCCCAGCTTGGAACTTCCCACCTCGGGATTGGGGATCCTGCTCACAAAGCGGGGCTAGCTCGGGCTGCAGCCAGGACACATGTCCAGGACCCAGGGCTGAGCGGTAACTACAAAGACGTGGGGGTGTGGGGAGGGGGATGAGGCTGGAGCCCAGGGAATACGGGGACCGGGCAGCCCTCCCTGGGTGGTGCCATCTTCCTGGCGCCTTGCAACCACCCTGGGCTCAAGTGGAACCTGGCAGAGCCAGAGCTGAGGCTGAGACAATGAACATGAGGTCCTCTGACAGAGCCCAGATCCTAGGTGCCGTGGCCTCTCCGGCAGGTGGCTAAAAAAATTGACTCTCCCTTCCATGGAGGCATCTGGGGGGGACAGGATCACCCTGCTCTGCTCTGTCCCAAGCCCTAGTATCTGAGTCTAGTGGGTTTGATCAGCTTTCCTGACAGGTGTCAGGGACCCAAGGTTGAGACCAGGATCTCCATCCTTGGCAGGACTCCAGGAGGGGCCTTAACACCTGGGTTGGGTGCGGGGGGCTCATCTCCCTTGGGAATTACAAACAGGAAACAGTGGTGGGTGAAGGACCCATGATGGGACAGTGAGGGCTGGTGTGGACATGGAGTTATTTTCTTTCTGGTGGATGTGGGGGCTCTGGGAGCCTTGGTATTTAGGGACATTGCTTGTGGGGTGGAATTTGGTCAGCAGAGGGTCTCATTGGCAGTGACGCTGGGGACTAGAGAAACAACATCCTCCCAGGCCGCACCCAAGTAGGGAAGAGGTGATCCCCCAGGCCCAGGAAGGGTTTAGGATCTTACAGAAGTCTGCAATTGGAGGGCAGGGACACTTGTGCTTACCTGTCACCCGAAACTTAGTATGCTTAGGCAGGAGGATCAGAAATTCAAGGTCATCCTTGGCTACATTGCAAGTTGAAGGCTAGCCTGGGCTACATGCCATCCTGGCTCAAGAAAAGTGGACTTGTTTGGGTTATTGCAGTGTGACTGTCAGCTAATGGCTGCCTCTCTCTCTGGGCTTCAGGCAAATGGAGAATAAATGGAGCTGGTAACTCTGGGACCTCCTGTCAATATCTCAATGGCTTTGTTTCTGGGTACATCTTTAAGATAGCCCATAACAGCAGAGGTGGGATCCCAGGTTGGACTAGGTCCCCAAGCACTGAAAAGAGATGCAGAGAAGGGACAGGGGATGGAGAAGAGGAGATGGGGTGCATAGACCCTCTGTAACCCTCCCTGGAGCCATCCAGAGAATGGGGGCTCCCTCAGCTAGGGCTCGAGGTATAGAACCCGGGCCGACACTGGAGTCCTTCTGTCCCCATTTCTAAGGGAGAAGTCACCCTTGAGGTCTCTCCAGCACTACACACCATGTGCATTTTCATGTTAATGATGGCATTTGCCTTAGAGCTGCTCGCTCTGGGGGACAGCAGCGGGCCAGGCTTGGCCCGCCGTTACCATGGGAGCAGCAGCAGCTGTGGTGGCAGGAGGAAGTGACATGGAGCCGTGGGGACACATGGACCGGCACGGGCATGGAAGGAGCGGTTTGTCCTGGGCCACAGCCAGGTATTTGCTTGAGACGCTATGATGGCTTCACGTGGGGAAGCATCACGCTGTGCCTCAGTTTCCCCAGCTACTTCTGAGAAGACCTTGGAAGCACACATCTCAGGAAGCCACTGAAAAGGAGGTGTAGGGTAGAGGGGATTCTCATGAACTCATGGGCACAAGGCCTGGGTTCACAGAGTGGACTATGCTCTGATGCTTGGGTTCCAGGCATTCTCAAGCAGGGACGGAGAACGGCAGCTGCAAAGGCCCAGAGGTGCAGAGCCCTGGGAAAGCTCATGGGGGGGGGGACTGCCTCTGTGTGACAGAGGCACAGGCTGCAAAGAGAGAGCCTGGGAAAGTGAGCAGAGGTAGACGGTGGATGGATGGATGGATGGATGGATGGATGGATGGATGGATGGGCAGATATGTGGATGGATGGATGGATGGATGAACAGGTGGGTGGATGGATGGATGGGTGAGTGGAAGGTGATACCCCTAGCAAAGCTGCCTCGTGGAGATGTAATTATCAGCATACATTTTTCTGGGTAAACCCTGGAGTGCTTGAGGTGGGACTCATACGGTGCTGAGGGTTTGGACGGCTGGGGAAGGCATTTTCTTATCTGAAGATGATGTTTCGGATTAAGCCTGTGCTAAGATCCTGGGCCAGGAAGGATGGGCTGGAGGTGAGGGTGCGCTCAGGGGTGTAAGAGGAGGCCACCCATCAGGTCTTGTTAATGACAGGGCAGGGCCAGGCAGACTCACAGGAAACTGTTCTTGCTATGAGATGAGTGTCCAGCTGGGTGTCTTGGTGGATGTCTGTGATCCCAGCACTCAGCCAGCCGAGGACCACCAGTCAAGGTTAGCTTTGGCTACAGAGCTAGCCAGGAGCCCATTTCTGAAATAAGGTGGGTGGGAGGCTGGAGAGTTGGCTCAGAGGCTTAGAGTGATTGCTGCTCCCTCTCAAACACCTGAGTTTGCTTCTCAGTACCCTCAGGTGGCTTACAGCTGTGTGCTACCCGGTGCCTTGTGAGCTCCAGGAGAGAACCAACACCAACCAACTGTCCCCTGCCCCATCCCCGCTAGCATGCCATGGCCCCCTCTATAGGCCAACAAAAAATAATCGAAAAGTCTAAAAACAAAATAATGTGAATTTAGCCTCTTCAACGTTCCAGAATTTCCTGACTCTCAGAAATCCTTCAGCCGTCCATCACCTCCAGCTTTCCCCTCCCCTCTCTCCCATCCCCACTCAGGTTGAAAGGCAGATATTTCCAACTTGCTGTGTGTCCTCAGGAAGGCTGCTGTGCCTCTCTGAGCCTGGCTTCACTAAGTATACCATCTTGGGGTGTGGGAGGGTTCAGAACAGCTGGTATTGTTAGGACTCCTGACCAGTTGGGAGTATCTGTTGAGGTCTAACCACACCCCAGAAGTGAGGGCACAGTGGCATCTCCAGCCTGGGTGGGTAATTTGGGGTCATTTGTTGGGATTTCTCCCTGGATAGCTTCTGTGGCTCACACACCCTCCATGGCTTCCCAGTGCCCTGACTTCCGTGGCCCTTGCTTGTTTGTCACCCCAGGCTCCTTCTGTTTGTCTCTAGGACGCCCTCAGCTCTTGGCATCTGTCTCTGCCCCAGGGCACCCAAAAGCCACTCTTCAAATCTAGGCACGAGGAAAGTGGAGGGGGTGGGGGTGGGGGCATCCAGCCAAGCCAGGCACCCCCAGTGTGTGTGCACATGGAAGAGGACTGGGGTGAGCCGTGGCCTTCAGCTGATGACAAGGCCACCGTGAACCTGTCTTTTTGTCTGCATGGCGGGACTCTCCACAGTCTCCCAGATTTAAGGGTACCCAGTGCCCAGGAACCGCTTAACACACCGTTTATCTCCAAGTCTAAAACAGGCGCCAGGACGTGAGGGATGAGTTTTCTAAGTGAGGTGACAGCCCCAGTGTTGAGGCTCAGCCAGGACCCGTCGGGACCCTGGCGGCCAGACAAGGCGGCCGATTCGCTTCAGCACCGCGGACAGCGGCGCCTTCCTTGTCCCCCGGGTTTCCCTCTCCCCAGGGCCTGCAGTGGGAGTGGGGGTGGGGAGGGGGGAGCTCGCAACTGCAGTAGGGAGGGCGATTCTCTCTTTGCTCTCTGTGACAACCTTCTCCTCTGCCCTACCTCCTCCATCTGTCCTCTTCTTCCTCCTCTTGGATTTTTCCCGACAAGGTCTGTCATAAACTCTATGTAGGCAAGGAGGATGACCTCGAAGTCGTGGTTGCTGCCTGAACCTCTCAGGTGCTGGGACCAATGGCAGCAAGTGATTGTCAGGCAATGGCAGACCTATCTCAGATACACCAAGAGCTGGGCGTGGTTTTGTTGTTCCTTAATCCCAGCGCTCAAAAGGCAGAGGCAGGCGGATCTCTGAGTTCAGGCCAGCCTGGTACAGAGTGAGTTCCAGGACAGCCAGGGCTACAAGCCTCTTGCCTGCAGCCTAAGCTACATCCCCAGACTGTCTCTTCTCGTACTACTGAAGCCTGGCATGGAGCTCCAGGCTGTGTCCCCATCTTCCTAAGATGAAAATTGGTCCCCTTTGCCCTCTGCCCACCACTGTTCCTCCTCCTGTGTGTGTGAATTTGTCAATGTTCGTGACCTCACGGGCTCCTCAGTGCCCACCACACTCCTTGTGTGTCCAGCCTCATTGGCTGAGCTTAGGACCCCGACATCCATCCGTTGGTTCTGTGGTGGGACACACAGAATTCCTTTTCATGGCTGTGAAATATTCCATCGCATGGAAGAGCACACCCATGTGTCAATCATTCATTCGTCAGCTGGTGACATTCCCATGGCTGCTGTTGTGGGTTCTGAACCAAACACATCTGATTTGACTTTTCAACCTTTCAAGAGTGCACCACCCTCTCCCCAACTCAAAGTTCTGACCCCTTACACTCAAACACCCCATCCCCTCCTCCAGCCCTCAGCACCCACAAACTCACTTCCTGTGTCTGGTTTCTCCTGTTCTGGGAGTTTCCTCTCCTGGAGTCCATACTGTGTGGCTTTTTGCTCTTAGCTCAGTGGCCTCAAGGCCCCTTCCTGCTGTGGGGTGTCAGAGCCTCAGCACTCTTCATGGCTGAGTAATACTCCATGGTGTCCCTAGACCATGGTGGGAGTCTCCATCTACCCCTGCCCCTGGGCTGCCCACCACTTTTGGGTCCTCGTATCCCTGGTGTTGGGGCTGTCTCCTCAAATGCTGTTTCCCCCCACCAGGCTGTGCCTTCCTCACGTACTGCGCCAGGGACTCTGCCATCAAAGCTCAGACGGCCTTGCACGAGCAGAAGACCCTGCCAGGGGTGAGTGTTCTGTGGAGCGGAGGGTAACTCTCAGCTATGGGGGACTTGGGCTCAGTGTCCCTGTGTCCCTAGACACAAAAGGGGGTAGAATAAAAGAGTCACAAATGTGAACATCTTTTGGATACCTGCTGTATGCTGGGCTCTGTGCATCGCAGAAGTGCTGGCTGTACACAGTACAAGCTGGCCTGGTGGGAAGTGTGCCTTGCCGGCGGGCAGCTATACAAAGGCCCTGGGGTAGGGCAGCCCAGTATTGGAGAAGTGTCAAGGAGACCCCTGTGGTTGGAGCAGAAGGGGTGACAGAGACGGGGGTCGGGGGACAGGGGCAGAGAGCAGAGGGGACAGGAACAGGAAGAGAAAGGCTAAGTAGGGCTTTCTGGCCACAAATGAGAACTTGATTGAACCTTTCTCACCACACCCTAAAAGAGAGAAAACAGCTTCATTCTGCTCCAATCACTTCTTGCTGTGTGACACTGAAACGGTCCCTTGCCCACTCTGGTCTCTGATATCTGAAAGAACTTGACAGGCCAAGGTGGAGAATAGGGAAGGTGGCTGGTGCCAGGGAAGAGACCAGAAATGGGACAGATGGATTTAGTGTTTGGCAGGACTCTAGTAACACACCCAAGGCTGGGAACTTTGTAAAGAAAAGCTATTTAGCTCACAGTTTGGGGTTCAAGGACGTAGGCTGACATTGGTGTGGCTCTGGGGAACAACTTCCATCACTGTTGCAATGCTGGCCTTGTCTCGCTGCCCCCAGGCTCCCATGGAGATATGGTGCCTGCACTTGTCCCCTCCCCTGCTACCACCTCACCCCTGCCCTCATCCCTGCCCCCAGCCCTGCTCTCATCCCTGCCCTTACCCCCCCGCCCCGCCTGGCTGCTCCTCTCCCTCAAACAGGGCACCAAGGATCCCTTTCCCAAATACAGTCAGGTTCCCAGTGCTCAGCGGGGGTATGGATGGATGCGGAGGGTTTTTCTGGTGAGGGAGGTGTCACCAATCCACTCCTGTCGGCTGGGGACAATGTGTGAGGTCAGGAGGGAAGACATGTGGCCTTGGGCATGTTGTCGGTGTAGGGACAGATGTTGTGGACAGATGTGGGATGCAGTGTATGAAGACCAGGTGGCAGTGCCCTGTTGAGAAGGGAACCTAAGAGGTTCATTAATTGACAGCTTACCAGTAGGTCCCGTTCACGGGTGCCTGAGCTATCGGGACAGTAGGGATATCTTCAGGCAAGTGTGATGGTCACACTGGGTGACTCCTGACATGGAGTAGGTGGACACCAGGGACTCAGCTCAGTACCCACTGAGAAAGACCCACCCGTGTGCTCACAGTGCCCAGCAACAGACTCTGCTTAGAACAGGAAGAAGTGGAGAATGCTCTGAGAAAATGTTGACTTTTTAAAATGTAAGGCCATCCATGCTTGTTACTGAGAATGTTTGACAGAAACATTAGAAGGTAGAAGTCCATATTAATACTCGAGTTTTAGCATGCAGTCATTGCAGTGCGGCCTCAAGGAACACGCCTTTCTGTCCCGAATCTCTCTGTCCGCTCATGGTTCCCGTTTTCTTGCATTTTCCTAATGTCTGGCAGGGCAATTGTTACATGTACCCCAAGCTGGCTTGGAACAAACAATCCTCCAAGCAGGAGGTTGTCAGCAGCCAGGGCTGACGGGGCTCATGGCTGACACAGGACAGTCACAGTTCTGGTTTTGCCCAAGGAAAGTTTTCCCAGAATAAGATCAGGTGTCAATGTCAAACCCACAGTTACAGACCTTAGGATGAAGTGAAACTCGGGCTCCATCCTGTGCTCAATGACCCGCGCGTGACTGCTCTGCGCCTTTCTAGAATGTTCCATGCTCCACCGTAGGCCCAGTGGGTCCTGTCGCTCCTTCGCACACACTAGGACTCTGCGATTATGGTTCTGCAGATCGTGCAATGAGCCCCGAGGCCACGTGAGAATTGAATCAGCCAGGGGCAATAGGGGAGGCATAGCCTTGTACCGATAAAACTTTATTAGAAACCGCAGTGGGGCCAGAGCAGGGCGGGGCCTGGCAGCACCCATTCGGGACCCCTCCCCCCACACCTCCCGTGGGCCTCGAGGGAAGTGTCCTCTCGCTGCTGGGACTCGGATGCGAGGCGCTGATGTTATTTAATTCTGAGAAACTGACATGGTCCAGGAAGATCCTGAACGTCCTAGACTCTGGTGCCAGCCGCTGGTGACGCCGGGTGACAACGGGTGACGCCGGCCTTGACGGTCCAGGTCTTTCTTTGTTGAGATCTGCAGTTGTGTTCAGCCACAGCTCCAGGCCTCAGTTTCCCCAGCCGTGCCTCCTCTGCCCAGCAGACAGGAAGACTAAGGCTCAGAGAGGAAAGGCGACCTGCCTGAGGTCTCCAGACCTAAGCATTTACTCTCTGAGAGCGACGGTCCCACTCGTGGGGACCTGGGTCCCAGCCCATAGCCTCCGCAAAAATCCACAGGATCAGTGAAAGATCTGGCCTCGAAGAACCAGGCATAGAGAGAGATGTAGGACACTGAGGTGGACCAACCGCTTCTCCATGTCCACGCACATACACTGTACACTTGTGAAGGAGCCACCGCCCTGCAGGTGTCTCCCAGAACCCGTCTAACCCCCTTCCCCCCATTAAAAGTCTTCCCACACTTTTTCACAGTTATGTACTGTTCTACAGCCCAGTGGAGGGCCTCATCCATCGGGTCTGCAGCTGAGGGTGCTGTGATCTGTTTCCGGTCGGATCTCAGCCTCTGGTGTCTATTGGCAAAGGGTCAGAAGACTGGGGGGAGGGGGAGCCGTCCTCCCCCTGGGAGCACTCCCAAAGGCGTCAGCTTTGAAAAGGGGCAGTGAGGGCTGTAGGAGGGAGGGCTCCTGCCAGCGAGCGGGCTCTTGCCTGCTGCACTGAGAGACTCCAAGAGCCGCTGGATTGCTAGGAAGCCATGGCAGGTGCAGGATGGGTGAGGGGCTCGCCGTGTCCAGGCGGGAGAGGATACCTGGCATCTTCCCTGGTTCAGGAATCTTCCAAAGGTAAAACTTAGCAACTGTAGGAGAAATCTGCATGGCCCTGGCTAGAGTGGACGAGATTGTCCAAAGGTTTCAGTTTCCTCATCTCTAACACACAGCTCGGATATTCCCATCCCAGCTCAGAGATGAAACGGGTCCTGGACATGGTCTCCCACACTGAATTCCTACTGCTGCCTCAAAACCCGCCAAAGAATTTTCATGGGCAACTTTTTTGTTATCCCATTTGCAACACTAGTAAGGGTCCTCCCTGGGGACTGCGAAGTGTTCGTGTCCAGTGAAAAGAAAGGGGGTGGGGAAGGGGGCGAAGATAGGAGCTGCAGAAGGAGTAGGGGGGAGAGTGGGCACCTGAGCAGGACAGACTGGGGGGCAGGAGGGTGGAGAGACACAGCTTGGATGCGTGGCGGAGGCACGTGGTGTGGGCAGGGAGGGCGCTCCGTGGCCCCTTCTCTGTCACTGTAGGGTGGAGAGGGGATACCCGGGAGCACGGGAGACTGAGGTCAGTGATGGGGTGATGGTGGCAGAGCCGGGGTCCTTCCTCCTCCCCTCCCTCCTCCCCTCTTCCTGGTCTCTGAAAGATTATATTTAAATCTCTTTTGTGTGAGGCGAGATCTGAACTCGGAGGGGGCCCCCACAGAGGCGGTTTCCATGGTAGCAACAACTGCCAGCTTCCGCGGGGTGAATCAGCGTTGCCATGGCAACCCCATCTTCATCTACCCAAGGTGCTAGAGAGGATAGCGAGGAGGGGGAGGGCCGGCGGGGGCGTGTGGGTGGGGCCGAGGGGGGAATAAGAGGCTAGATCTGGGGGACCCCTCCCCTGCCTCTTCCCCCCACACCCCTCCTGGGCGCCCTGACCCCAGAAGCGGAACTATTCGGTTCAGATCGCCTCTCCCCCACCTCGGGATGTGGTGTGGTACCCAGGTGCAGAGGGGATGGGGTGTGGGTAGGTGGGTGGGTTTGGGGGGATTTGGCTGGCTGTGGGGGGGAAGGGCAGGTAGTGCGGCGTCCCTGGGAGGGTCTCAGAGGAGGGAAGGGGCTCTTCCAATTGGGGTGGGAGAAGGACTCCGGAAGGGGAGGGGCCCAAAGGAAGCGAAGGAGAGGGGAGGGGTGTGGAGAAGGGTGAGGGGACAGCTGTAGAGAGGGGTGTGGGGGAGGGGTGGGGTTTAGGGATGGAGAGGGTGTAGGAGAGGGAATGGGGAGTGAACTTGGGGGGGGGTGTTCGTAGCTGCGTGAGGACACTGAGGGGACCTCGGGAGCAGGACGAGGCTGAGGTGTGAGGAGATGGAGTTGGGGGCATCTGGCTCAGTCCCAGGACCGTCATGGTGGGCGCACGGGAGACAAGTTCCTGTTTGTTGAATGAGCCCAAGATGTCACAGGGCTGCACGTGGAGGGCTAGCCTGATCCAACTCTGGGGTGAAGACCCCAGTCCCAGCTCTTGGGCCCTTCCTTCCTTGCCCCCAGCATGATAGATTCTTCTCAATGACACTCGGTGTCATTTAGGTGCCCTGTCTGGAGGGAGATAGAGGCTGGAGTTCACCCATGTGAGTCTCCCAGTCAGGAGGGTGACTCCATCCAGGCCAAAGGAAGAGAAAATAGAAGCCTCCGAGATACTCACCACTTTCCAGCCTCCGTTAGCTCGTCCTTGGGGCATGGGGGAGGCCTACCACTTGCAACCATTTCATTTGGTCATGGTTCCCTGGGCTAACAAAGGCTTCTTCAGAAGGAATCTTCCCGAGAGCTATCCAGGGGCTAGTCTAGGCCCGCTGTCTGGAGAGCAGTGAGGTGTCTAGCACCCTAGGCCCAGAGTTCCTTTCCATGTTCTGTGCTGGAGGAAGTCACTTAACCAAGTCCAGGCGCAGGGTTCAGGAATAAACTGACTTCCTGAAGACAGAAATGTCCCAAGGTGACATTTTCACACAGGGCTCAGGGACATCGGGCCATTTTCAAAGACAGTTTATCTTGTTGGGATAATTATCACTGGGTTTTGAAAGCGAGCTAGGAGTTTGCAGGTCAAGTCTCACTCGCACTGAGTTTGAGTTCTGAGACACGGTGGGTAACTGGTGCCGAGCAGCGCTTACAGAGGCCCGCGCCCCTCTTTCCTCTGCCACCCTGACCATGTCCCCTTTCCACAGATGGCGCGGCCGATCCAGGTGAAGCCAGCAGACAGTGAGAGCCGTGGAGGTAGTAGTAACCTCCCCGTGGCCGCGGGCCTCTGCAGCCTCAGGGTTGGGGCTCCGGCCGGCTCCGACTGCTCCCCCAGACTTCAGATAGCCCACACCTTTCCTGTTCCCTCACGGGTGCCTGAAGGCTGCAGACTTGGGGTGTGGGGAGAGTGTGGGCAAGGCTCTGTATGTCTAGGGGCTCTGTAAAACTAGCCTTGTTAGTTCCTGTCACTCTCCATCCTGCTGTCTATCGGGACAGGATCCCGTCCCCCGCCCCCAGCTCGCTCTCGCCCTGTCTCCTGCTTCTGACTGTCCCCATGATCTTCTGTCTCTTCTTCCCCGACGCCCCCAAGCGTCTCTGCTGCCATTCCTCCTTCCCTCTCACCCCAGTGAGTGACAGCCATCTGAGTATGGTTTCCCTAGCAACCTGGCTCTCATTCCTGGGCGACTGGGCAGCGGGGCGGCCTGAGCAAAGGTCCTGGGGCAGCGCGGGCCAGGGCTGAGGGTCTGCAGGACCAGCGCGGGCTCAGCGGGGCCGTGGGCCGGGGCTCCGCCCACAGGGGACCGGAAGCTGTTCGTGGGCATGCTCAACAAGCAGCAGTCGGAGGAAGACGTGCTCAGGCTCTTCCAGCCCTTTGGCGTCATAGACGAGTGCACAGTGCTGCGAGGACCCGATGGCAGCAGCAAAGGTGACTGGCAGGCGATGGGGGCAGAGCCTAGGGGCGGGCCTTGGGGAGTGGCAGGAGGGGGCGGGGTTGCGCTTGGCACAGGTGTGGAGCAGTAGCTTGCAGGAATAGCAGAATGGGAAAGGACTGGAGTGGGCATAGCCAATGGGAAGGGGTGGAGCAGATGGGGGTGGGTGTTTGTGGCTGGAGGAGAGGGTGCACTGTTCCTGTAGTGGGTGGGATTTGGATGTGGGAAGGGGAGGGGAGGGAGAGGGAAAGGAGGAGAAGGGCTAGCTGTGAGGCGCAGTCAGGTCTATGGGAGGGCACGGTTAGCCCCGGCTCCTCCTGAGTGTCCAGTCAGTGGGGCTGTTGTGTCCCCTGCAGATTAGCCCCCCAGACTATGTCCTGAGTTCTCTCTGTCCCCGAGCCTCTCGGCTTTTCTCCCCGTGTCTCAAGTTCCATGTCTTCATGTGTCTGTCTTCATGTGTATGACGGAAAGGCTGACCGGTCCTGGCTCCGTGTTGTGTGACTCAGGCTGGAGGTGCATCTGCCTTGGTGAACACCACATAAATGTGTATGTCTGTCCTCTCGGCCAGCTTCCATGATTCCACAGGTCCCAGTTCACCATCTGTGCCCTGGAGGACAGGGCTGGTGGCCATTCAAACCTTTTCTCCCTTGTTCTGATGGGACCAAGGCTGCCTCTGAAAACGTGTGTGTGTGGCTGCTGGGGTCTCAACACAGTTCTTGGATGCTGAGCTGACTTCTTGTTGGCTGACCACATGAATGGACAGATGGATGAATGGACGGATGGATGGGTGGATGGGTGGATGGATGGATGG